ATCATAGTACTTGGGAGCACCCATGGAGCAGACCCACTATGTTAAAAACAAATGCGAAGTGTTTAAGTATTGCACGGCAAACAACGAAAGTAAACAAATTCGGGATAAATTATAACATTAAATGATTAAAGAGAGACAAGTTGTGAAATGTCTCAGTTATATCTTATATTCACCTAAGTCTATGAAAACATTTTCTGCTTAATGTTATCAAAGTGTAATTACAAACTAGTTAGCAAGCTTATTGGCCTTCTAAATACATGCTTTTCCATAATTTTGATTCTGCTCCTAAATAGCATGACATCCTTCACTTCCTGCCATTCCCACCAAAACACAGGTAAAATATAGAGTCTTGTTTAACAGTGGAAGTTTTTTATCATCTTTTAGTTCTACATTATAGTTGTATAAATTAGCTGTTTTTCTTCAAGTGTATCCTGAAAAAAAAAAAAAAGGAAATTACACTTTAAAAGATTAATGGGGAATTATAATGTTCTTTCTTAAAAATGGCAAAGGTATATGGGTAAGTACTCAGGGGCGGGGGAGGAGGGTGGGGAGGGGAGGTGGTTTAAAACCCAAAACTATGTCACAGGAAAGTCAAAAGTCTTCCCAACCTCTGAGCAGGGCTGTCATGCCCTTAAAACACACTTAATATGCAGCTGGAAAAGTTGCATAGCAAACAAAAGCTGACAAAAAGGAATCTTTTTAGAGAAATATCCACAGAACAGAAAACTGCCAAATGAATATTAAAAAAAAAAATCACTGTACCAAGACACAAAAAGGTTATAAAAATGTTAACTACTACATGCACAGCATTTTTTTATTGTGCAAAAACCAAAGTTCCAGTTTATGAACAGAAACTGCAGGTCAAAGTTTCTCTGGTAGTGACATTACATTATTTTTCTTACCTAATAAGATAATGACTGGCTGTATCTTTTTTTAACAGGTAAACAATTGATTATTTTTTTTTTTTTTTTACATTTTAGACAATTAAAGCTAATTGACCTATAGATCAGTGGTTCCCTGTCTGTGGCATCCTGACCAGTATGGATTCTTCCCCACTTCTTTACCAGGTGAAGCAAAGAAAAAGGGACTGCTTTTTTGTTCTGTTAATGGGATCTCTGGTAGACTATGTTAGACTCTGCTCATTAGCTGAAAAGGCACAAATGAGTATTCAATGTTCTTCTACGTTTTTGCTCATGTGGACTGTCTGGTGCTTTACAGCTTCTTCCACAAACACTGAAGCATCTGCTATATGCAGGTGTGATTTCAGTGATGGGACAAGGGCAGGGGATGACCGAATCGCATTTGAACACAAATATTTTACATTTAAAGTGAAAAGATTTAATTCACAAATTCCTAAAGTGTGAACTGTTCTTCAGAGGCCAGCCCCTAAAAACATTTCAGAAGCAGAAATTAAAAAAAAAAAAAAAAAATTATATTACAACTACCAAGAAGCCAGATAAGGATGAATAGTATAGGATAATAATAAAGTAAAATTATATTGCTCAGTTAGAAAGATAGAATAAAAATCTCAGGATATAATTCAATAAATGTTCATTTCTTTTCCATGGAGAAATAATTAACTGTACTTTTATGGAATAGGAAGTAATAGCAATAAACTTTGCAGAAAAAGGTCTGATAAAAAAAACTTTATCAGAGATTACAAATATGACCATGAACTAAACATGACTCCCAGTATCATACTGGTATGAAAAGAATCGATCATACAAGGAGGTAGGAGCAGCAGCTCCTAAGATTCCTCTCTTCCATCCAACATGCGCTAATGCCTCAGCTGACTGTGTTATTTGAGCACCACATTTCAAGGAAAATATGAACTCTGATTTACAAGAAAGCACTGAAAATGATCAATGACTCAGAAAATTGGCTCCAGAAGAAAAATGAAGTCCTGGATTCAGTTATTTGAGCAAAGGCAAGATTAAGCAGTCATGCAATTGGACATCTCAAATAGGTAAGAGAGATTAACACATAAACACTCACTGCAACAGAAAGAAAAATCATGTGTGTATGTATATATATACATATATCATTCTTGCACAGGAAGAACTTCTACATGGGAGTAACATCTAGATTCTTGCCCTGTCCTAAAAAAGATAATATTCTAAACATTAATTGCTCACTCTTCTACTTTGGTATGAAAATGGGTTCTTCTTTTCAGTACAAGCTTTAGCAAAATCAAAAAATTGTCTTTTAAAGCAACCATTACCAGCTTCTAAATATGCAGGGTTCTACACATTCAGCAAAAACTCTCATTAAGAGCTGTGAGCTTAGCACATGGATTTGGGCTGCAGACAGTTAGAGGTCATGTGCACATACCCACAAATGGAATTGTCTGGGAAATTTTCCAGGTGCAGAAACTTACAGCAAGTTCTCTGAGCATCCTATATACTAGCAATGTTTTTCTTTATGTTTTTCACTTGCGGGGTGCAATTCAGTACACTAAATGAATGCCGGCATTAAACCTTTGGCAAGATTGCAACAATATCCACACTTCTTTTAATCCTATCTATACAAAGGTAAGTGTAAAAAATGTCCATTATTGTCAGCTGATCAGTTCAGCAATAGTGAGAAGTGTTTAGAGAAACTAGCTTACCTAACAAGTATCTGCTAAAGATGTAGCTAGCATCTGCTTTGCACTGCTTTCACAGCAACCATACCCTGGTAACTGATGAACAATGGTTGCTTATCAGCAGGACACATCCAGGAACATAAAAACACAGTGAAGGTTGCACAGTGCCACACAGCAGCCAGTTGCAAGTATCAAGGAAAGAAAATAAGAAAAGCATAAAAGCAATACATCTCCATACATTCTCCCAGCGTCGAGCAATCCCTGGACAAGGGACTTCCTGAGAAAGAGAAGATACCTTTATGTTTACTAGTCCTGGTTAGATTTTGCTTTTAAAAAAATCTTCTCGCTGCTTTCTGGATCCAAGTAAGCCTTCAGCAGCCCTAATGCTCACAGCAATAAGTTCCATGCAAAGCTTCCTGAGAAAATTTACCATTTTTTGTATGTCTTTGAGTCACTCAGCCACATGATATCTCTTGCTTCTTGCAACTGAAGAGAAACAAGCATTCATTTCCTATTTGCTTTCCCCATGGCACTCATAATTTTAAAGAAAAGAACAGTTTTCGACATTCCCCATATCTTTGATCTTCCTTGTTACATTCTCTACACCTTCTTTGGCTTTACTACATTTAAGAGCTTTGCTACATTTAAGAGGGGAGGGAACAAGAACTACTCACGGCATTCAATATATAGGACCATCACAGATTTAGACAGTGCCATAATGATTTTTCTGTTTAGGTACATATTCCTTTCCTAACAATTCCTTAGGTTTAATTTGGTTTTTAAGATCTTGCATTTTCCAAAACCCTATATATTATAACTCCAATATTTTATTCCTGTGCAAAACCTGGCAGTTCAGAGACCACTGCTATATAAATTTATAGAACTATGTTTAACTGTATATACCACTCATATAGTACAGTGAACTTTACCTGCCATTTCATTGCTTAATTGTTTCTTACACAACAAGGTGTTTCTGCAGCTCCTCACAGTCACCATTCATTCTCATAACCCAAATCAACTCAGAAGCAACAGCAAAGTTTGTCACCTTACAATCCCCTTTTCCAGGGGATCAACAAAGATGTTGAACAGTGCCAACTGTTCAACAGCTGATGAAACAAACTCCTCAGTCCCACTCTAATTCTCTATCTGTTAAACAATTTATTTATTCTCTTTTATCTACACGAGGTCATTCCCTCTGACTCCAGAGCACCACCATTTGAGACTCCTAGTGAGACAGACAGTTAGAAGTGCTCTCGAAAGGGAAGAGCCCCCAACATCTCAGAAAACCCTTCAAAAGGTTCTCAATAG